GTGAACAACATTGAGAAGGTCCAGAGGAGGGCCACGTGCATAATCAGGGGTCAGCAGGCCACGCCCTACAAGGAGAGGCTACGGGACCTGAACCTGTTCAGCCTCCACAAGAGAAGGCTGAGAGGGCATCTGGTGGTTGTCTGTAAACTGGCCAAAGGAGACCAGTAGGCAATGGGAAAGTCCCTGTTCTCCTGAGCACTACTGGGAGTAACAAGGAATAATGGCCATAAGTTGACTGAGAGTAGATTCAGGCTAGACATCAGGAGGCACTACTTCACAGTCAGGGTGGGTAGGATCTGGAACCAACTTCCAAGGGAAGTTGTGCTCACTCCTACCCTGGGGGTCTTCAAAATGAGGCTAGATAGACACCTTTCCGGGGTCATTTGACCCAAGCATTCTTTCCTGCCCGTGGCAGGGGGTCGGACTTGACGATCTGCTCAGGTCCCTTCCGACCCTACCAACTGTGAAACTATGAAACTATTGCTTTCCCCCAAATCGACCGAATCTGAAGCGAATACTAGCTGCTTCGCACAGGCCTACCAGGCATCAAGCCATTGTTTACTACCCTTTAAGCCTGAAAATCCAGCCAGTTTTCTATCTACCTTACTGTCCATTCATCCAACCCATACTTCCTTAATTTGCTTGTGAGAATGTTGTGGGAAACTGTATGAAAAGTCTTGCTAAAGTCAAGGTATATCATGTCCACTGCTCTCCCCACATCCATAGAACCAGTCATCTTGTCATTGAAGGCAACTAGGCTCATCAGGGATGACTTTCCCTTGGTGAGTACATGCTGACTGTTCCTAACCACTTTTTTCTCCTCCGAGTGCTTAGAAATGGATTCCTTGAGGGCCTGCTCCATGATTTTTTCAGTGACTTAGGTAAACCCTGGATTTTCCTCCTTCCCTCTCTTAAAGATAGGCACTACATTTTCCCTTTTCCAGTCATCTGGAACCACTCCTAGTTGTCATGGACTTGTATACATCCAACTTGCCTAACGTCACATGTACAAGTGGCCAGACCTGTTCTTTCAGCACTGTTGGCTGCTCACCTTCTCCCCAAACTGGGCTGCCAGGTACAGTAGTCTGGGAGTTGACCTTGCTTTTGAAGACTGAGGTGAAAAAGGTGTTGCGTACTTCAGACTTTTCCTCCCCATCTGTCACTAGGTTGCCTTCCCCATTCAGTAGGAGGCCCACACTTTCCTTAATCTTTCTCTTGTTTCTGACATAAGGAAGATAGTCTCTTAACTGAGCCCTCACTTTTCTCAGAAATCAGGTTAAGCTGGCCCAGAAATTAGCTGGTCCAGAAAGGCAACAAGTTGGGTCTGCTTCAGACCATTTTGGATCAAGCATTGGAATCAAGTTCCAAAATTGAAGGGCCCTCATCAAGAATGCCCTGACAGCTGATACCTCTCTATTCTCCCAGCATGAATGTCCTTCTGAAATTTGGTGCTATATAATACTTATTAACAGTTTGTATAATGCTGCACATTACAAACCATACTTCCTGATAATAGATGACTGGAATAAGCTCATGGAGTAAAACATGTTCCTTTCAAAGAAGAGGTTATAGTATAATGGTTGGAGACTTCTAAAGACTAAGGTAACATCAGCAATACATACCTTTTAGAAGAAGTGTGTTGCTGCTAAATTAGTTTTCCAGATAGAAATAATTATGCTAAAAGCCAGGTGGCTCTAAGGCTGTCTCTACTTGACTGTGAATATTAGTTGTTGCCGCTTTACTGTACCAAAACCAAATGTTCCATGTACCCTGAGCTTTGTAAATAATTGACTCCAAAGTGGCCTTATATCTGTAAAATGTTTGGAGAAAAGCTGGCCTTTATTCTTTTCTCATCTAAAGCTGTTGCTTCTCAGTTACTTCCCGCTCTCAGATATTATAATACTCCCTGCCATCTCCTCTTACCTTTTTTAGAAAGAAATTTTAAATTCTCTCAGTCACTTTACAGCCCTCCCTCCCTCAAATTTAAATGAGCCTGCTTAAAACTTTTAAAAACTAGAATGAAAAAGCCCTCTGCAATTGTTTATAACTGCTGTGCATTCTGGCACCATGGCCTGAAAATGAATGTCAGTGAAGCTAGTAAGTTACCCTGACTCTGTCAGCCTGTCAACATCTGTTCAAGCTGCTGCCTGGATGTATACCCAGGAGAAAGAGAAGATAGGGACCCGGAGAATGAAAGAGCTTGACCAGTTTCCAGAACTGAAATTACTGTCATTATTCTAACTTTATTTGCTTGGTCTAGATTTTCAGCTTGTGTAAATTGTCATAGTGGCATTGATTTCATTTGAACTATGACAATTGACAAGAATCTGGCCCTTTCATTCATTCTATTAACTATTAATTTAAAGTTGTTCTGCTGTCCAGTTATAGGTTTCCATCCCACAATTACTGCTTGTCATGCACTTTGGGAAGCAGTTGCATTGTTTAGTGTGACTCTGAGTGCATCTAATTGTGTTTTCTTTCATTTATGTAACAGCAGCAGCAAAAATTAAAATCTAAACAGGAAAGAAAATGTTTTCATCTTAAGAATCATTGAATCAATGTCACAAGTACCAAGTAAAATCAAATTGTTACTATTTATAAATAAATTAAAAAAAAAATCAAATGAGAAGAAAATAAAGTAACTAGGAAAACAGTGATGCCTAAAACTCATCACCTTCCATTTGGAAGATGCATATATTGTGCTGCATTTGGTAAAAGAGAAGACTAAAACAATCTGAAGTGCATATCTCTAAGTAGGATGGGAACTTTGTGTTATAGCTGTGAGGGCCAACCTTTTTGCAGGCATGCTACAAATTAAGCCCCATGCTCTCCCCAGGTGCCACTCCAGTTCCCTTTTCTGCCTGTTCCGTCACTTTGCTCTCTGCTTCCTGCCCTGTGCTCCCTGTTTGATCTATTTCTGTTTCCTACTCTTTGCTGTGGGCTCCCTGCTGTGGACTCCCTGCTGCTCTGTTTTCTGCTCCTTGCCCTATCTGCTGCTGTGCTACCTGCCTCCTTTCCCCATCTGCCCTATGCCACACACAGAGGCTGCCCATGCCACTTGTGATACGTGTGCTGCACTTTGCACCCCCTGGCATTATAGCGGTGTTGCAATAGTATATTGCCAGGTGTTCAGAAACAATTGTGATTAACATAAAGTGGAAGGATAGAAATAAATAGTAAGTGAGAATCATTTCTTGTTATTTCAGGTGATACAACTATAAATGTTTAAGTTATAGTGTTTCATATGCCCTTGTTGCAAACAGAAACAATTGGGACTAAAAGTCTCTGGAAGTCAGTGGAAAAGCTCTGATTGACTTCTTGAGGTCAAAGATCAGGCCTAAAATGAACATCCCTTACTTGCACAATTTTGTTGGCATAGAGACTTCAGAAACAGAAACTGTAGCAAGTATAGGATTGAGTGGTCCCATGTCTTGTCAAAATCTTATTGCTGAAGGGGGTGCCTATTTGATGTTTTGTACTTGTGTCATGGAGAAATGAAATTCCTCTGTTAGCCTTCTGTACCAAGAAAGACCATGCTGCTTTTTAAACTCAGCATTGAGACTATTTGATGAACCTTGATGTAGGAAGTTGATGGTAAGAATCTTAAAACAGTATTGCTTTCTTTATTTACCTTGTATCTTTTTCCAGTAGACTGCTTTGGTTTCTGGATACTGCCTGTAGATCTGGGCACACTTAATTTAGTAGTTTTGCTCTCTGATGCATTGTAAAGTAGATAAGAAATTTTGCAATGATTGGGCTTGTTTTATGGGCAATGAATTTTAAAATTTCATGTATTTTCATATTTTTTTGTCATGGAAAAAAGACCTATTTTATTGTCAAGGTTATAGCCAAGTCCATATTTGAATGTTTATACCTTTTGCAGTTTTCATGCTGATTGTGCCAAATACCTTGCTTTCCATGTTTCCATCCAACACCTTTAACATAGAGAAAATCATTTCTCCCTTACACAAGATCTGCTCAAAGACAGCAGACTGAAGGAGCTGTCAGGGAGTTGGTCATGAGTGATTCTCAGTTGCTTAGTCCTGGAGTTACAGCGAGAGGCAAGACTATCCACTGACAGTCTCTTACACTTTAGGTTCATTTGAGCCATATGGAATGCTCAGTCTTTCATACTTGCTGACAACCTGACCCATGGAACTTAAATACAGATGACAGAGTTCATCTACCAGCACTTTGTTTTCTGTTACTCCAAAGTCTAGATTTTACTTGGCACTGCCTCTCTGCAAAGCTAGAAGAGCTCCTTTTATTTATTTCCAAAAATCTTTTTCCTTTGTGCTTGAGATCATAGAAGTAGTTTTTTATGCACCAAATTAGGGTTAATCTGAAATAGCAAGTGAAGACATCAACCAAGAGATTAGAGATACTTTAGAGATCATACTGCAAAACAGAGACCAGCCCTTAAGTTAGTGGCAAATGCTTAAAAGTTCCTAATTCCAAACTTACATATTTTTTAAAAAGCATTTGTACCTTATCACCATTCAAAACAATGGAATTGGAGAGGTGTCTACATGAGATGCTTCAAGCTCAGCACACTAATTCTACTGTGCATTAGCACAGTGAGCAAAACCTGTGCTAATGTGCTAAAGCACAGTGGAATTAGTCTAGTGTGCATAAACATCACAAAAAAGTGTGCGCTGGCATTAATACACAGTAGCGCCGATTATGGCACATTAAGTTAGTACCTGTAATGACAGATACTAAACTTAATGCACCATAATTATGGCACATTAATGAACCTGTAGACATGTCCTTTAACATCCAATTGATTTCAGTAGGACTTAAGCATGTACATGTTGTAAACAATGCAAAGCCCTGTTTGAAGTTATGCTGGTACTTCCTCTTGAGATATAAAATATACAGATTTTCCAGCATAGTTAGACCAATCTTCAGTGAACTTGTGTCAATGCAAATATTTCTTAATTGTTAGGTTTTTTTTTAATTTACCACCTCTCCTGTCTCCTTTCTTCCCACCCCCCAAGTTTGATACCATGATGAGAATGTCTGGCCCACTGCCTTCCAGAATCTGGTAAGATTAGACATCACTAATTATTGCTTTCTTTCGCACTTCACTCAGTGTTGCTACACTGAAAATGTCAAGTGTAATATGGTGTTGGAGAATCAGACAATATTTTTTTCCAAGACATCTGAACAACTTCTGACTAGGTTGATGAAATAATAATTGATAAAAATGTACCATCCATAGGACAACAATATCCAAAATAATAACAATGATTTTTTTAATTATGTCCTTAAGTTTAAGCCCCTAAGTATTTATTAAAGAAATTATAAGTTTTCCATCCATATTTCAAATAATCCTATAGAACTTAATAGAGAATTAGAACTCCTTTATGGAATTCTATAGGATGGTTAAAAAAACATAGAAAATCTAATTCTTTGTTACATTTTTAGTTTAATTTTAGTTTTTTGTAGAATATTGTGGTTCCATCTGTATTTAATCTTTAATTTAATGAAGGCAAAGTTCACAACAATAGCAAAATTAAAGCAATTTGTGTGATTATATGATGTCTATTGTAACCTAAAAGGCCAAATTTTCCTGAACCTGTATTCCTTGGTTATCTAAATCTCCCACTGACTACAAGATCAAGCAGTAAACCAATATGAATTACTAATTTTTACAGACAAGCATGGAAAACAATGTAACTGGAATGTTTGATAACATTCAGGAGATCACTGAGTTTTTCAATCTTACCCAGCTCTTATAAATTAATGTGGAACCAATGTCTACATTTAGCCGGAAGAAAATACTAAAGCTTTGCTAGAAAGAAACACAGCATTGTAACGCCTAATGATATGTATGAACTTTACTTGGGTAAATAAATAAAGACAGCTAATGTTATTTCTTAATTCTAGTTCGATGTAACCAATTACATATTTCACGTATGTTAGTGATGTGTCATGTCATGGAAACAAATTTACTTAGTGTGTAGTAACTGTTAATGAAGAAGTAAAACAAACATCAAACACAATCCACATTTACAATTGCAAGGTATTGTCTGGTAATAATTGGATACAGACAAGCTGATGGATAATTTTGAACAGTGGACTAAATTAACTGAATGAAAAATTAAAAGACCATTACATGAGAGAAATAGATCTTTTTGCAGGTAAGGTGGACATGGGCAAAACTTCAGGAATGCAATCAAAAATACTTTCAATTATTGTATTGTTGTATGGAATTTAAAAATAGGTAAAAAGAAATCAAATCTTTTTCTCATTGTTCATACATTCTCAAAACTGGAGTGAAATTCATACCCTACAGAAATTAATAGGATCTTGAAAATTCATTAAATAACATTGGTTTTCTGGTTCTGGAAATGGAAATAATGTCAGATCTGTGAAAAGGATAAATTCTTCTTTTTTTCATTGTATTGGTGAAAATACTTAGAAATGCCAGTGGAAAATTTCCCAATAGAAAGGTTTTACATCAGAAAACACAAATGTATTAAAAGTGAAAAATTTTGTAGAAAATATATAATATTTCACTTTAAAATAATAGAATAGAATATTCCACAAAGGTCAAAATTGAATGTTTAAATTTTCCATTTAACATAACTTTTGCTATTGAAATCTTTGTCTATTATGTTGACAAAATCATATAAAACAAGAAAACCAAAATTGCAACAACAAAAAAATGTTGATCAAACCAAAATGATTTTTCAGCTTTTGTTTTAGTGGAAATTCAGTTGAATTTGTATTATACAAAAATGTTAGTTTCATTCTGAAAAGGAAAAAATTGGAAATGATAATTTCCTACAAAACAGCAACTTTGGTTTTCACCTATGTGGAAAACTAAAAGCAGAGTCTCAATATGGAGGAGAGAAAATCAAATGCATTCACACAATGTTACTCTGAATAGGCTTGCAATTGGCAGCACCAGCCACGTCTCCATGTGTATTAATGTGCCATAATTACAGTGCTCTAAGTTAGTACCTGTACTAAATGCACCATAATCAGCGCTACTGCACAGTAGTGCTACTGTATATCTCTTAGGTGACATTTAATGTGCAGTAGACTAATTCTACTGTGCATTAGCATGGCTTTAGCCATGACATGCTAATGTGCAGTAAAATTAGTCTACTGCACTTGTAGTGTCTTGTGTAGACGCACTCAGTTACTATCAAAATAATGAGCTTGGAAGAGTGGGAAGAAGTAAATATTTGAGTAAAAAATCAAAAGATTTGGGAAAAGTTAAGTTTCAGTTTTAATTTAATTTCTGTCAGACGTGTTTTATATAATCTTTTATATTTTTCAAATACTGCAGCATGCAGTAAAAAGCTAAACTAAAACTGGAAGATACAAAGGGCCAATTAAAAGTGATGAAGCAGAGAAAAGTCTAGGGGATACCATGTAAAAATCATGAAAGCTGTAGTCAAATGAGCAACTCAAGAGACCCAACTGGGTGGCCCTTGCACCTCCTGGGTGCATTCACACATGCAGGCATATGCACTTGCAGAAGCTCAAATAGGAGCAGCACAAATTTGAGACAAGGATTTTTGCCTCAGCAAAGGCAAAAGGTGCAGGCCCCAGGTGACAGTGCAAGTGGCCCAGAGCTGCCAAAAGGCACACAGCACCTCACTGAGCCATGCCAGGCCTGGACAATGTGGCAGAAGCAGTGCTGGGTACCAAGCAGCCGGGGCTGAGCCACATTGCCCCCTGCTGCCCTGTCCTGTGTGTATGGGGGGGCTGTGCCATGAGGCCCTGAGCACTCCAATGGCTGCTGCTGCTGCCAAGGAGACCCACCCCTCCCAAGCTGCCCCACCTTGTCCCCTGCACCCTCACTAGTTTCCCTCCCCCCATCTCCAGCCCCCCCGCCCCCATCTCCTACTTACCTGGACTAGAGCCCAGGTCCAGGTTGCTGCAGCCTATATCACTGTTTGCTCTGCACAGGCAGGCAGTGTGCTGCAGCACCAGGGCAGGAGGCAGGCACAGAGATGCTCCAGCTGGCTACCAGAGTGTCTTTGTGGAGGACCGAAGCCTCCAGTTGCCTCAGGGCATGATTCTGGATTGTGCTCTGCCCTGCTTTTTTTCTGGGTTGTTTTTTTTTTGATACCTGGATCTCCAGGTATTAAATTTTGAGCGCACGCTGCATATGTTTTTTGTTCCCAGCATGCCTCTTGCCCCGTCTCAAACTGCTTTGAGACGCAGCAAGAGGCACATGTGCACTCATTTGGATGCGCCCTTTGAGCCTAATTTTTCTTAATGAGAGTGATGCATGGATTTGAGGGTAACAAGTACGCTACAGAATGTTTCCAAGAAAGTTATTTGATAGCATAGGTACAAGGTAATAGTAGTAGAAATTCTACATTCTATTACTATTTGGTGCTCAGAACTCCCATTGAAGTCACGGGGGATTATGAGGGGTTCACTAATAGGAAATCATCCAAAGGGGTACTTACCTTTTTTTTTTTCTTCAGTGAGGGAATGAAGCAAAAGCAGAAAGGATGGATTAAGAATATTAAGCAGCCCAGGTATTTTGAGCAGGAGGGCATTTTCTTAAAAGGTTTTGAACATGAAATAAAAAACATACTTCCAACATATGGTAGCAGCAAATAAATCTGCATTTTCTTACTGCATCCTTTATTTACTGCCTCACAAGATCATTGTTCTTAGGACCCCCCACCCCCACTGAGCAAACATTGCTGCCTGATAACGAAGTAGAGCTACTGTGAGCAACAGTGATCTCCTGTTGTAACAGCTGACCAACAAAGCCAACTCACAGCAGGTGGCCACCTTACAAGAATATTGTATGCACACTGAAAGTTAGCCACCTTTTGAGCAAAGTAGTGGTAACAAGAAGTGAAGCAAAGGGTAAAATAATGAAATTCTTGAGTCTGCCCTGATGAGTAGGAGTCAGGAACTGACTGCATGGCATTGAAAATATGCAGCTAAAAGAAAGTGAACTACAGCAAGTTAGGGCCAGATTCTGCCACTTTTACTCATACTGAGAATAAACACTATTCCTAAAGTGGACCTATTGATTTATCTCAGATCTAAAACTGACCTTTCTTCATGCTTCCCTTTTTACCTCTCTCTTTGCTCAATCACCTTTTTATTGTTGAAAATTGATATAATTAGGAATGGCGGAGGTACAGAATCCTAGTCGCTGGTTCACCAATCTTGTCCTGTTCTCTCCCACTTTCCCATTTGTCAATCCATACACTAACACGTTTTTTGTCTCCCATGCTGTGTTGGAGCTATGGGGTTCAGAATCAACATGTCAGTCACTGGTTTCACTGTTTAGGAGTAGCTCTTAGAAAATCATGCCAGCGATTTCTGCCTCCACACCAGTAAAATGCTAGTTTACAGGCAAAAGAACACAGGTTGGGAGAGGAGATGTTTATAAACAGTGCTGTCTAGTTATTAGTTTTGCTTATTATAAATTAACTGCTGAATCACTGATCCTGTAATTAAAAATTATTTTTGAAAATCAAAAGGCTTCTCAGACAAACTGTAGCTAGCACTTTTCACCTGTCCTGACCATTCTGTAAGATGGCAAATAAGCGGCAGAAAGGGGAAATTGTAAATAAGAGTTTGTCCTGATCTTTTCCTTCAGCTATAGACATGTAAACATACACATGGGTACTGGGGCAGGCAAGAAACAAAATCACATTACACAGAAAGTGGTGTGAATTACTGTTGAAGAAATATTTTAAAATGCTTTGGACTATAGCAGATGTTATAGCTGACTACAAGCTCTCTTCACAACTGGCAAAAACACTGAGCAACTCAGATGTCTTTGTACCCAGCTCAAACTGCAAAGGCTGAGGAATCTTGGTGACTTAAGGATTATACAGGTTCAGCGTAGAAAACCCCTTGCAGAATTGCTTTCCAATGAGCAAGGAACCAGTGTTTTGCATTATTTTTGATTCATGAGTTATATTTGGCCTGAACATAGAACCAAAGCTAAAGGAGGAGCATGATATTGCCTGCAGCATTCAACATAGTACTGCACAGAACAACGGTCAGAGCAAATGGAACTGATGAAAGAGGAACAGTCTGTGACAA